AAATTCTGTAAGAAAAAGTTTTGTTGAACATAAAAAACCTTTCAAAAATATGATTCATGCTGATCAGACTCAAGTAAAATTGTGGCTATACATTGATGAAACTTGAAAAATGAATTTATTTTGAACATTAATTTCATGTAATGAGCTCAGAAATAAACAAAAGTAGAGTTTTGTGATGGGTTACGTCAGAAAATTATGAGAGATACAATTACATCAAAATTTTCAGGAATACTGTATATTCTTTGGAGGATGAAGATTCTGAGGATGTTGGCGCCAAATTTTCATATCCAAGAAATTTTTTGCTAATTTTCTTGGGATTTTCCCTGCAGAGTCTGGAGAATTTCCACAAAAAGCTTTCAAGGAAAACTATCTCCACGCTATTACGAATATTTGAGATTCCATCGGAATCATCCCACCAATGAAGGGAAATAGATTCTATGAGCTGAACCCATCTGGCAAATGTCACCCGGCCATTGGGTGTAATACCCTTATAGTGCTGGGTGAACTTCTCATCCTTGTTTCTCTCAAAAATGTATACTGTGTACTGTTTTTATTTGGCAAAAGACTGACAAAAAGCGTGCAAACCAAAGTTTGCATAAGCAAAAAAAAAATATGATGAAAGTCTCACATGATATAAGTTTTTGAAATCTGAAAAATTCATAACTTATAACCGCACTAAATTTGAAAATGTTTGCCAAGAAAAAACGAATATTGTACAGGTACTCTGCAAAAAGAAATTTAAGATGCCAGAAAAATGTATTGTTTAGAGAGTTTTGTTGTACAGAGCCCCCTGTAACATATGTGAGAGAGACCCATGGAACTGCAGAAAAATCCATTATAGAAAGAAAATCTTTGTAGACAACATCGTTGTATGGAAAGTGAACTTGTGCATCAAAACAGAAAGCCAAAAGAAAACCTGACTTCATTCAGTTTAAAAAAAAACCTAAAACCATTTTCATCTTTATTTTAAAGTGGGATATGATTCCAGGGATTTTTTATTTGCTTCCAATTGTGCAGCCTTTTTTGGGCTAAATTTCCAAAATATCAAAAGTGTTTGCTTGTGAAATCACAATAAAGCCTTTCCATATACACAGAATTTGTCAGACAGGTTTTTCAGCAAAAATCATACATAACATAATGAACCATTCAAAGATGCTGTCAGGCCGGTTACTGACAAAGGGTTTTAGGAAAGTTAAGAAATAGCTCAGCAATGGATTTTGGGCCTCAGAGTGGGAGCCTTACACAACCCTCAACTCTTATTCAGAGGAGGTTGTGTCTCAGCAACCGGCCACGTGCGTTTTCCTTTGGGGCGCAGAGCGTCCCACCACGTAAGCTGTGGCGTGGGCAGGACTCTATCCTGCTGGCGCCACACAGCACCTTGGCCTGGCGCTGGTTTGCGACGCGACAGATGCCTGCTGAATTGCTTCAAATCATTTACTGCTGAAATTTAGTATGAAAAATACTGCCTTTATCGCATTCCCTCCTGTAAGTTACCTTTTCAAACACAGACATAATTTTCTTTTCAGGAATCTATAGAAGGTAATATTTGAGTAATCTTAACAAATATCTACTATTTCAAAAAAGGTTCCAGAACTTAGAAAGTCAAGTACACACTACAGTATATGTACCTGTCACAAATATATTTGCTATTTTACAATCTCAAACCGAATTGTTGCTTGAGTTATCAAAGCAAAAGAATATTTTGCTTTGAGGTCATTTTATGGAACAGCAATTAAATATAGACCTTTTTCCATTTCAATATGATAAATATTCAAGATCAACTCATTATCAGTTGTATACATTTGAGTTACATTAATCATTAATTTTTTCACAGTGAAATTGTTTCATGCTATATTCATAGTCACTTCAGATGATTTTTTTTTCAAACAAAGAGCTATCAGTGAAATATTGAATAATTGCAAGAACAGTTAAATTTTATTGGCCTTTTGCAGATTCAAAGAAAATCCATATGCATCATATCATCAGTATGTTCCTTCACTGCCCAATAATGAAAAAAATTATTTCTTGAGAAATTTGAAATACATGTATACTGTATCACAATTTTCTTAAATCAGGAATCCTAAAGGGATTTCCAGCCTGGGTATTTTAATCTCAAAATAATCTCTTCCAGAAAGATCCAGTTTTCCTTCCCGTTTTGTGATGAGATGACCTTTTGTGTTCAAAAATAATGCCATCATGCCTTCACGCAAGAAAAATTCCAAAATCGATCCTCATTTCAAAAGAAAATGCTTAACAGGGTATAAAATTCAATGAAAATGGAATCATTCCAAATAAATCATACATCCACCCCACGCTTCACTCACTTTTCAATTACAGTATATCATTAGCAGATCATAAAGTAATCAACGGTTTCCTGAGAGTTCCTCTCTCTCTCTCATGAGACCTTTCATTCTGAGCTGCTGATGGGATAATCGCAGTTAATCCTGAGTAGTTTTGTGGATGCCCCCCCCCCCCTTGATGTAAGTCCTGTGCAGATGGGGTTGAGATATGAGAAAGACATTAGGAAGATTGGATTGCTTCCCACATATGGTAGAATGGGGATCAGCTACTCCATGTGTGTTGGGTGTCCATTTCTATATGTGTTTGCTAAAATGAGCAGGAATTTAGAGAAAACACATATTGGCAATTCAGCCCTGAAATAATTATTGCATTTTTAGGGATTCATGACCAGATAAGTAACACATATATAGTAAATTATTTTTGAAACAAACTCTTCAGGGACCTTAGAACAATTTTTTTGTATCCAAATTTATGTGGTTTCAACTTTCAAGAATTGTAGACTGAAATTTTGTGGGAAATGCCTTATACAAATATTGTGAAGTGCTTCTAAAACAGGTAATTCAAGACTTTTCATATTTTCCAGGTACAAGTAATACCTAGTAATTTGACCCTAATACATTGCCAAACTAGGGTCAAATTGCAAATCAGCCAAATTGTGAGATGCTTCATAAAATTTAAAAATATTGCAACAAAAATTCAAAAAATTTTCCAAAGCAGGTTAAATTGCAGGGCAAAAGCCAAATTTCAAGTCTATACCTCCCTGCTAATTTAGCCATCAAATTGCAGGAGGGTCAACTTTCAGGAGTTTGAATTGTGAATTACCACCTTTACATATCTGAAGAAACAAAGAGAACATGTTAGGAATGCATAGTACTCTCCTTTTCTTAAACCTGTCTTGACTGTCATTTTTCTTGAAAAATAAAATGAAACCAGATTATTACATGTGGAAGGACAATTGTTCTGTACTTCCATCTTAAGCTTAATCATTCATATATTTTTTTGCAAATAGACAAAAATTCATACTTTTTTGTGAAAGAATGGGATCCATTTTCAAATTGAGCTAGAAAAATTACTAAGAAATAACTCACATTGTGTAATCTTTTGAACACTAAATTTTTCTATATATAGAGAATGTTGTTCCTGCTTAGAAAAAGATGGAATGCTACAACATTCCTTTTTTTTCATTTCCAGCCAATGATTGAATAATCCTATCCTTGTGATGGCCTTTGCAAGGAACCATGGTTATAATGATATTATTGTCGAAAATGAGTTTTTAAAAAGTATAATTGCGATGATGTTTTCAAAAATATAACCTACTGCTCATGATAAAACTATCAATGAATGACTGGATCCCTATTCTCAAGAAGCACGCAGGGAAGAGGAACTCAAAAATAAAGTGCAAAAGTCACCATAACCATAAAAAAATGGACAAATACCGGTACAGAGTTCCCCATTTTAAAAACCTGTAAAGAAAAGTTGTCGACCGAAGAAACCTTTCAGGAAATTGACTGGCTATCACAGCATGTGTGCGTAGATGGAATGTACATGGAATGAGAAAAAAGTCTTTGTGTGTTACCTGTTGCCCTTTCTTTTGTTTCCCTGGAGTGGAACTATTTCTGAATGCATCAAGTTTAGAAACCGAATCCAGTTGTGATGATATATTTATTTAATTTTGAAACGAAGGCTGTGAAAATTTCCGTTGCTATGTAAAATTTGCTGAATGAGAGAGTTTCCCAGAAATAAAAAAAATTAAGGAATGCTCCGCCATTTTCTTTTAAATAATGAACACTGAAGTGCACTTTTCCAGACTTCAGGTTAGATTTTCTCTGAGAACTTTTCTTTGGCTGCTGCATAATGGAAATGCAAAATCGGCAAGATTGAATTACATTTTATTAGTTACTGGACTTTGCAAAATATTCCTTAATCTGAGTAATATATCAAAATCTACAAATAACAGAAGAATTCCACTTCCAGAAAAAATAGCTCTAATCTTGAATTTGTTGAAGCCACACATTTACATTTTTTGAGGAAACTTTTATCATTACTGCATGAATGAACAGAACACTTTATTTGCAACTTTTCAGTGTTCACAGGGTTCAATCAAGATTTCCGCATCCAAATCCCCTACCCACCCAACGCAAGTCTGCTCGAAGACATTTAATCACTTCAGAGCACAAAACTGAGCACGAATTGATTTAAAATAATGAAATAAAATACAATCCACAAAATACAACTGGACATCTGACATGTATGAATACACCCATTCCTTCCCTGACATTGAAAACAAAATATCAGTAACAATTACTTTAAAGCACAAGGTCTTCAGCTTGTTTCTGTATGAGGTTTAGTTGAATGAACAAAATAGACAGAATCTCTGATGAGAAATCATATCAGGCCAACAGTTTATCTTGATCCTTTAAGATTTCAGAAAGGATCTCTTCATTGAATTCCAAATCTTTCTTAAGCTTGTCAAGGCTGAAATTATGCGTTGCATCAAGTGTCAGAAATACTTTCTTGACAAGAGATAGTTTAATTAGACATATTCATTATTAGAAATGAAAAACTTGATCAGCCAGGCTACCACACTTGTGAGAAAGCTTAATTGGATTTTTTCAACAATATTTCAACCTATGTGAATTAAATTCAACTGTAAAATGCTCTAAAATGTTTAGATTCAGTGAGCTTTTGAGTTGAGTAATATGGTTCAAGTTATGCAGACAGGTAATCAAGGGATTTCTGGTCAAATTATCGAAAACTGTCATTAAATTATTTATGAATGTCATAATGCATGCAGGAATTTGCCAAATCCTCATTGCAAAAAGTAAAATGATATATGAATCTATTCCTTTGTTTTGTGCTCCGGATTTGTGTTCTGAAATGTTGAGCCATAAAAATAATTTTAAAAATAACAAATACACAGGGAAAGTGACCAACTGGAAATTCGAATTCCTGTACTAAAGTTTTGTTTGAAGAAGGTTTGACTTAGCTTGGTGAAAAATGTGAATGATATCACATATCAAGTGATACAATCCATGTTTTTGGGATCATTTGAGCAGGCTGCAATTGATAGGTTGAATTGTCATAAGACGACCAAAATAATGGCCTGGATCTGGAAAGTATACTTTTGAGTTCCCTGTTCTGCCCTTATTTGCTTCCATTTTTCATTTCTCCATTATTTCTTTCCATCTTTTTTTGTTACCCCATGACTTGCTTCCCTATTTCCTCATGCAGAGCCTGCTGTGCCCTGTCAATGTTTGCCAATGGTGTTATTGGATATGTATGCGAAGTTTCTTTCTGTTTTTTGTCTTGCAACCAGCAGAGGGTTCAGTCAGCTGGTATTGACCTGAAGAAGTTGATACATGGCAGAATTTTTTTCATTCTCCTGTGGCTTTTGCTCTTTTTTTCTCAGTGACCAGAATTTTCATTAGCACAGCCTAATAACTGAAATAGATTCAAACTTTTTGTTTGCAAAAGATTCTTGATATCTTCCTCATAACCACAAAAGCTGTAATCATATTGAAGTATTGTATTTTTCGAAAATTTTGTATCTGACTTCATTTCAGGATGTTTCAGTTTTACAACAAGATTCAATGAGTGTATTGAAAACAGAACTGTTTTTCAGTTATTTTCATCATGGCATATTCTTGGTTTTTTGTGGCAAGATTCTGTTATGGTACAGTGGCTCATATATTCTCATCAAGAAAATTTCAATTTGTTCCAAAGATTATGAATTCCATTGTGAAAATTAAAAAATGGTATTCTAAGAAAAAGTGCCACAATGCACTTATCATGATTTTTTCTCTTCCTTAGTTCAAGTCAAGAGTTATCAATTTTTCTATTTTCATTAGAATCTGATGAATTCAGTTTTTATCTTTCCACCCATGTTAAAGTTCAGCACATGTCACCAGCACTCAACCAAATTTTTCCATGGGGTTTCAGTTATTTCATGAATTGACCAGAAGGTTGAAAAGCAGAAAACTTTTCAGGAAAACATCAATGACTAGAGATTGTGGATCAGAGGAAGTCTGAATTGTTCTAATTGCCCTCTTTCATACTGTACTGTACAACAAAGATGTTGTAATGCAGGGTCTTTTTGTCAGGCAACTTTTAATTTGTTTATGTTTCCTTTCATAATTATTCATTATGCAAAATTTTCTTTTGTCTTCTGCTGTGTGGATACCACCTATATAGGGACATTTTTTCAACTTCAAAAACTAATTTTCGAATTGTTTCCTATGATTTTTCTTTCAGAAATCGTCATGGCAGATTATCCGGATGCCCTTGACCATTACTTTCCAGCAAACCTGACAGAAATATGGCTTGACGACAACTCCACCAATGTTTCAGCTGTGCTGGTGAATGGAACAGAATCTGAGACAGACATTGACCTGGTGGTGCTGCGCTGGATGACCATCAAGGCCGTGATGGTGCCAGTGGTCTTTGCGCTGATTTTCGTCGCTGGATGTTTGGGCAATGGCACCCTCATCCATGTGTTTGTGCGCCACAAGGAGCTGAGGACCACGCCGAACATTTACATAGTGGCGCTTTCTGTGGGCGACTTGTGCGTGGTGCTGTTTTGCATACCGTTCGTGGCTACTATTTATACATTCCAGAGTTGGCCATATGGACTCATCATGTGCAAGGTGAGAATTCATATTTTTTGTAAGGAGAAGAAGGAATATTAAAATGAAATTTATTTCCTTTTTATTTTGTTTTGCCATTGTGGGAATTTGGAAAAATTAGCCTTGGGAATTCATAATGCAATATTTCATAAATTAAGATAGTAATGTACTGTATTTACTTGAGTACCACGCGCCCTCAAGTAAGGCGCGCACAGGGGTTTTTCACTTGAAAATTTTGCAAAAATCTTATCCCCAAGTAAGACGCGCACCCCACTTTTTAGTGAATCTAAAACCATAAAATTTCAAAAATAAAAACCAAAAATTTAACTTTAGGCATGAATTGAACAAAAATCTGATGAATTTTCAACTTTTTCAATACAAAAATGTTTTCTTTTTATATTTGTTCCAAATTTCTCCATTATAATTAAGTATATTGCAAACATGACTTCCTAAAACTTCTTGAAAATTTTGTACCTGCATATGACGCGCACCCCTTTTTTTCTTCTGAAATTTGGGGGAAAAGGTGTGCGTGGTACTTGAGTGAACACAGTAATTTATTTTATTTTGGTATCCATATATATAGCTTTTTTCTTGGCTTCCCATTCCTAAGTAATTGAATGCCTTTGAATGGATTTGGCTTGTGTGGGGAGGGGGTTTGGGTGTGGAAATGTTGATTGAACTTTGTGAATGCTGAAAAGCAGAAAATAAAGCTTTCTGTTCATTCATTCATGAGATATTATAATAAATTTATATTCCACAAATAAAAAGCCTCAGTAGTACTTGGTTCTTGTGTTCAAGTGCTGCTGGTGGTTTCTTGGAATTCTCAAGTGAGAAATGGAAACTATAGAAGGTTGAAAATTACTAAAACTATAGTGTTGGTAACCTGCTGCTTTAGTGTTATGCGTGCCTCATTAGTTGAGGGACTTGAGCCATAAAATAATTTGGGTAGAAAAACTGCCCATTAATAAACTCAGAGAACACCAGAAAAACCTGGAGAACTTTCCAGAACTTGATTGCATAACATATGTATGTAACTGATTGAAGGTGAAAATCATTCCTAAATATAATTTCCATTGGAAGATAAAATATAATTTCATTTAGATGATAAAAGAAACTTTTTGTGAATCAGAAACGAAGTACTGTAGTGATAAAGTACAGTTTAACCTTGATAAGTCAAACCTCCCTCAGGTGAATACTTCCCTAACTCAAATTGTTTTCAAGTTCCTGTCTCCATTCCCTTAGAAACAATGTATTAAAAGCATCCCTAACTCAATAAGGTTTTTTCTCTCTCAAACCTCTGTAAGTCTAATTTGCTGAGGCTTTTTGGTTATCATTTCTTTGAAATATGAAAGAGAAAATCAATAAAGCAAATTATTTTATGCGTCTTGAAAAAAGTGAAAGGTTAATTGAACAGGTGAACCCCTGCCTCCAAGTTTATCCAGCTGTTAGCTCATCATAATAAGCAATTTTAGACCCAGAATATCCTCATTTACAATTTCCAACAAATTTTTTTACTTTGTCTAGCAGAAAAAATATTTGTTTTCTTAACTCAAAATCTCCAAAAATCAAAACCTCCCTGGGTCAAAATTTTGTTTTCCTGATCCCTTAAAATTCAACTTGGAGAGGTTCAACTGTACTTTGAAATTATTGATGCATAATCTTTGTCATCATCTACACTCAACGTAATCATTTGTACATTTTTCAAAGTACTATAATATTTCTTTCAAAGGAGTCCTTCCAAGTTTTATTATTAAATCAGTACATCAGTAACCTATTTTCCCCCAATACATTGTATATAGTATAGCAGACAAAGGCCGGAATTTCCCGGGCTGTCCATGCTTGAAGTGCACGTCAACCTTAATTCCCTGGGAACATGTTTGTTGGAAATACCAGCGACTTCCAAATTAAATTTCAGAACCAAAACTTCCAATGGTCTTCTGCTCTTCCTGCTTCTGTGTATATACACAGTATAAGATAAAATGCTTCGAAGGAACACCACAGCAGCAGCCAAAAGGGGCCTCAGACAGATGCTTCCTCTCATTGGAAGCTTGGCTCTGTTTTGTCAGTTGGTCTCACACATGATATGGGTATATAAATTATAAGGAAAACAAAAAAGGCCAGCTTGCTCTGCTCCTATAGTCTCTGTATGTCATGGGATCAGTGTCAGCAGCAGCATGTATATATAGAGAGAAGAGGAACCCGATCCAACAGTGATGATACGAACCGTGGAAACACGGCAATTATATGAGTGTGTACAGGTTTCCACGACCCTAAGATATATACATATATATATATTTATATAGGCTTATAAAATTATTTTACAGATATCCATGTGGAGAAAACTACTTTGGAATGATCAATTTGAATAAAAATGTGGAAGAAAATACTGTTTAAATTGGCAATTAGACATATATTGGAAATATTCTACACAAGTTGCAAACAAACAGGTGTCTTTGTTATTTGATAAAAAAAAATTATTGAAAATTTATATTGAACTTGAAAATACTTTATTTTGTGGCTGGGGCATTCATGTTTTTATTCAATTTTTCCCATAACCCTGTTTAGACTGTCAGGGGACCCAGAGACCTTGTCATGGGTCCATTGGATCCCAGACAAAGGAATTGAATTGTGCAGCCATCAGCATGCAAGTTTTAAATAAGAACTCAAACTCTTTTCAGAGGCAGTCATTCTCATTGCCCAGTTCATCAATTGGCTGTTAATTGAATGGTTGTAATGGCAGAGTCAATTGTAAGATTGGTTGGTTAGCTCAGAAGATTGAATGAAGTAATTAAAGTTAAAAGGCCCTTCAACACTAGGTTCTCACTTTTTCTCTCAAAGAGGAATGAAGGTTTTTATAGCCAGGTGCTTTGACTGGGTCAAGAAGAAATCAGTTGATTTCTCCCTGGCTCAGGATTGGCCAATTTCAGGAAAATCAAAGAAGTGATAACCACTTCTTGTCCTTTGGTGAGGCTCACAAATACCCAATTTTTGCAAAGCTCACTGGCCTTGGAAATGCAGCAAGTTTTCTGGACTGGTTTTGGCCAGATGCTGGAGCTGCGTTGCTTTGGTACCCAACAGATCTTGCTGACAAAGAATTGGGTATTCAGAAAATAAAAATAAAAATTATCCATTCACGTGTTAAACTCATCCTCATCTATGGAATGTTTTCTTTTTCCAGCAAAATAGGATTTTCACTGGACAAAAAATTTGGTGTTGACTGCTGCAAGATTTATAGAGTCATAATTTTTGAATCTGGTGATTCTGCTCAGGTTCAGGTCCCACTTATTGGAAAGTTTCTCCAAGGCTTTCTGTTGAGTCACGATTCACTATACTGGTTGTGTTTGTAATTTGGTTTTATTCTTTTGATCACATGGTGATTCACTTTTGTGGAAGAGTTTCTGAAGGTTTTCCAGGACATGTTAGTCAGTTAAGGTTTTATTCTAATGATTTTTCTTTGTGTTTGCAATATGTATGTATTTTTGCTTTCATGGGGTGCAATGTGTGCCTCATTGACCTGTGGTACTTGACACATCATACTTGAGTTTCATCTAGTTGACCCACAACATAGACTTTTGAAGTTAAAATAAAACTATTTACTTTGCTCACCTGCATTCTCTGGGAATGATCAATTTTTTGGAATGCTCAATTTGAATAAAAAAGTGAACAAAAGATTTTAAATTTGCAAGGCTCTAAAAATGTTCTTCAGCACAAATGATGAACACCCCTTATCTGATGTAAGCATTAGAACTATTTAAATTTTAAATGAACCGTGAAGCATGCATTATTTATATTCCACTATATACTGCATAATTGTTTACTGCTAGAATGATTTATTTTCACTAAATATTTAAAGATTATTGGCAAAGTATTCTGTTTAGAATATGACTCCTTCAAGAAAATCCTTGTCAGTTACATGTACCTGTCCCCAAGACACTCTTTTTCTATCATACAGGTGGTACCTTGCAATTTGACATCCCCCAATTTGACAGTAAAATTTGCTAGGATATTAAAGTGCAATTCAACCGTGTCAGGGGCACTTGGCCCTCTCTGGCAAAGCTTAGATTTTGCTTCTCAGAAAGCAAAAGGAAGTGTGAACACAATTGGCCGTTTGTGGCCTGAGGTCAATAGCTCAACTTCTGTTTATGTCCAGTCAGATGTTTTCAAATATAATAATAATTTCACACTGGGAAAGGTTTTGGAGCTCTTCTCTCTGCTGAGTTCAGACTGCAAGTGACTCCTTCCTCTTGGGAATTTTATCAGCTCCAGGTCCTCCTCAGTGGAAAGTTTGTTCAAGGCGTTCCACTGATGTGTGAATAATTCTTTTGCAAACAATTCCTGTGAGATTCCTTTGATTCCAGGGCTGATTCACCTGAGTAGAATGAGCCCTGGAGATCATTGTCTCCAAGGCTGGCCTGTTGGTGGTTTTCTTGGAAAACCTGTTTTCAGTTCAGCTCTGTTATTCCTTTTCATGCTTCTTTCTGTTTGTAGGTTTTTGGAATTTCCGAGTATGACAGCAATGACAAGGCGTTTTGTATGCCACGTTGTTTGTTGTACTTTGTTGTACCAGCACTACTTGGGTGACATCTAGTTGCCCCAAGTTAAATGGTGTGTCTGTGGGCAACATCTGTTTGACCTGGGACAAACCTCGTTCCCTGCAATTCAACCTCCAAAGAGTAAGAGACTCAACATGTCAAATTGTATGTAGAAAACATTGAATTTTACATTGTCTCACAATTCAGCCACTTCACAATCTGACCCTTACCTGGCAATGGATTAGGGTTGAATTGCAGGGGTATATGGAACATGTATAGCTGTAAAAACTAGGTCCTTTAAAACACACACATGGCAGACAGGATGCATTGTGCTCATTTATTTTAATCTATAAAATGATACTTACTAAATTTATTTATTATCTCAGGTTTTAGTCTGTGTACCATTTCCACATCTCACCATTGTATTTAAGCAATACCAATGATCTTTCTAATTAAAGCAGAAAGCTGTTTGCATTTCTCCGATGTATTTGCGCAAAAAAAGAAGGAAAATATGATGACTATCTCTGAAGTCATATTTCCTGAGAAAGAAAAAGACGCACAGGCGCGGAATATATTCATGCATATTTTTTTACAATGCCTTTGTGCTGTTGCATACGATTTTTTTTTGCTTCTAAAAATAAATATACGCACTCTGGGGGGGGGGGGGCTTTTATGGCGTTTTCGCAAGGAAGCCAAGTTGAATAATTCGAAGCGCATCGAGGTGGGAAGCGTGAAATTGGATCTGCCTTTTGATGGTGAAAAGGGATGCCGAGATCATAGACACTTGAGAAGACTGTTGCTGTTGCTGTCAAGAAACATGCTGTTCAAGTTCACGCTTTCTGGTTCGCACGAGTTTGTTTCATCTCTTCTTGAAAATAGGAGCTCATTTATTTTTCGTTTTTCGTCTATAACAAAAGAGCGGTGCTTTTCTTAATTGATTATTTATGAGGTATTTATGCTGTAAAAACAACACAACCGGTACACAGTAATCAAAAGCTTGAAAAAATTAATGAGCAATTTTATGTCTCAATTTCTCCATGGATCCTGGATGCAGGATAACATTTTTTAAAAGAAGTTCAACCATCTTGGGCTTTGGAATTGTATTTTAGCCAGATAAAACCCTTATATCTAAACTAATCCATTTTTGGAACATTTCAAAATTATTCCTTCTGGAAGAGTCCACATGGCATTTTTTGAACTTTTGAGATTTTTTGCATTCATTTATAAAAAATATTACAAGTATGCTAAATTAAGGGATTCATAAATCAAGTTTTTTTGGGGGGGGGGGGGGGGGGGGGGTGTGGTTGTTGGTTGTCATAAACCCTCTGACAATGGCATCCTCTTTTCCATCCCAAGGCAAAGTAGGACGTTTTACAATTGGGCCTGCATTTCATTTTCACCCAAGGTTATACAAGCCATTGCCAGCTAGGTGGCTAATGGAAAAGTTGTATTTTATCTGGGAATGAAGAAATGCTGTGAAATTCCTAAGTCAGACTCTTTTGATAGTGACCTCTGACCTGTATAAGCTCATGAATTTCCAGCTTAAATTCAATCATTGAATGGAGGAACTGTCATGGGTCCATTGGATTCCAGACAAAGGAATTGAATTGTGCAGCCATCAGAATACCAGTTTTGAATAAGAACTCAAACTATTTTCAGAGGAGTTCATTCTCATTGCCCAGATCTTTGTTTGGCTGTTGGTAAAATGCTTGAAATGGCAGAGTAAATTGTAGATTGGTTAGTTGGTTAGCTCAGAAGAATAAATAAGATAATTTAAGTTAAAAGGCCCTTTAACACATAATTCTCACTTCACCTTTCAAAGAGGAACAAAGGCTTTTATACAGACTGGGTCAGAAAGAAATCCTGGGATGTCTTCCTTGCTCAGGATTGGCCAATTCTGGAAAAATTGAAGAAGTGATGACCACTTCTTGGCCTTGGGGGAGGCTCAGTGAGTCTTGCAAAAACAGGATTTCGGCAAGGCTCATGCTGGCCTTGAGATGCAACCAGTTTTCTTGGCCAGTTGCGGCTGGTTGCAGCAGCTTTGCCACTTCCAGACATGACAGGAACAACACAAGGCCAGAGGGGGGAACAAGCAGTGAGCCTTGATCATTTCATTTTTGAATGACATTTTCTGTAAAATAAAAATACCAGGATTTTTCCGTTACTTTCCTCTGAACACACTGTCATGGTTTTCAAAAATGTCATTCTTGAGTGCACTCAAAATCTGCAAAAAAAAGTCTGACTTTACCACAGTAGGGTTACAAGTGATTATATTTTGAACTCACACCTGATGTTTACATTATTAATTGAAAAAAAAAATTATAATTCTATTTTCCTGTAGATTGGAGAATTTGTGACGCAAGCGTCGACGGGAATGTCGGTGTTCACTCTGACCGCGTTGAGCGTGGACCGTTATGTGGCCATCACGCATCCCATGCGGGCGCACGTGGGAAACAATCCTCGCAGACTGACCTATTGCGTTGTGGCTGGGATTGTGGTCCTGGCACTGCTCTGTGCCCTGCCCTTCTTGCTCTTTGCGGAAGTGGTGCCCAAGGGCCATGATGGGATTCTAGTCTGCCACCCGTATCCTGAGCACTTTGGACCAGGGTGAGCTTTTGGATCACTCTAATCCTCTTTCTTGTTTTTGGATATATGGTTGATGAGGACGAAACCGTTTTTCTTAGAATATAGTGTCAAAGGAGTTTTTTGTTTTTGTGAGGTCTTGGTTGACAAAAACCAGTCATTCTAGTGTAATGTCTGTCAGCTGGATTGAAACAATGCCATTCTTCCTCTTTTATTGCAATTTTAAGTTGTTGTCTCCAGCAGAACACTTGCAAGCTAGACCCCAGTTATTTTTGATGGTTCATGAGATCAGACTTGTTTTCTAGAAGGCTAGAAAAGTTTCAAATGGGTAATTTTTAACTGTTGGTTCTTGGCTAAAATACAAGTTAATCCAGGGTCTGAACTGTTTGTAAGCTGGACTGATAAAATGTCAATCCTTCCCTTTTTGCAATTTCCAGTATTTGCCTCCAAAAAATGCTTCAAGTGGGCCCTTGCTGTTTGATGGTTTGATAAGATCAATATTTTTATAGAATGCCAGAAAGTGTCAAATTAATACTAATTTACAGTTGGACCTTGGCTAATAAGGAAAAAATTCAGTCCAGTGCGAAGTTGGCTTCCTGGAATTTTTGTAAAGTTGATTGTTACTGTACATATCCAATCTTATTCAAGGAAAATGTCATGTTGTATAGGACCCACTTGAGCAAGATGGTGCATCAACCTAAGAAAAAAATTGTAAGTTGGAAACTGTGTTAGCAGGCATTTTTTTTTTTTTAGCCAGGATCCCTGTGTGTCTATGACATTGACCTCTTAATCTCAACCAGGAATGGGTCAAGTGCTCAACTCTCTGCAGGTAACCAGGAAAGCAAACCCTGTTCAATTCTCAGATTTTTTTGAAAAATCAGAGGTTTATTTCTCAAATCAGCATGCTCAATGGTGCATAAAAGCATCAAACACTTGAAATCAACAACACATTCTCATTCAGAATCTCATTCCCATTCTTTGCTTCCACTGCTTGAACCAATTCTCTGAAAAATTGTGGGAATTATGTTGTGTCTGTATTTCTCTGGAAGAAGATGCTGAGTTGTTGATTCTTTTGGGACATAACTAAATCTAATCTGTTTTGTGATTGGGGTTTTAATTGTGATTGTGATACAACCCACCACAATGATTTTGGGGGGTTATTCATAAAATCTTTGTTTAATGAAATCCCTAAAAATGCTGTTTATTCTAACAAAGTCAATATGAAGTAAAACTTGGAGCAAAGGATACATCTGATGAGGAAATTACTCATTTTTTATCAATTATTGATGACATATAGGATATTAGTGGTAAATGGTACAGTGTTTTAATTTATACAATAAGGGCATTTGAGGTGCATTCAAAGGACTACAGTGGCCCCCCGCCTAACAGACCTCCCGTGTAAGGGATTTTTGCCAAACAGACCAGCTCTGCAAGCAGTTTTTCCTCCCACCCAATAGAAGAGCGAATTCCACAACCTATATAGCAGAGCGAAAAGATAGGGTGTCATTAAAATGCCAGCAGCGCGAAATCATCGCGTGTATAATGACTCTTCCCGTGTTGAAAAATTCACATTCTCTCAATCTCTAGTCTACAAACTGTAGAATGCGGAGTCTTTGACTTTGACTCGCATATTGGCCCATATAGAGAGAACAGAAAATTGCAGAAGAACACAAAAGTGCCCTTAAATTGTAATGCATAATAATGAAACGGCGAATATACAGGCAACAACGGAAATGCTTACATGCGGGTAAGATTTTTATATACAATGGCACCCCGCCTAACAGACCTCCCGTGTAAGGGATTTTTGCCAAACAGACCAGCTCTGAAAGCAGTTTTTCCTCCTGCCCAACAGACAAAATCCTCCAAACAGACTTCTTTTGGTTTAAAATAAGTGTTGAAAATTGAAATTTTTAATGTTTTATTTAATTGAATTCGTGTAAAGGACTTTTTGTCCAACAGACTTGTCCCTTGCACGAATCAAGTCCGTTAGACGGGGGTTGACTGTATATATTTTTTGCATGTTCCCATCAATGTATTTTGCAGATATGGCCAAGGAATGGTGGTGTACAAGGCCTTGTTGTACTATGCTGTGCCACTGACCCTCATCACAGTCTTCTACATCTCCATGGCCAGACGACTGGTGCAGAGTGCGGCGTCCATGCCGGGGGAGGCCCGGGCCAGGCGCCAAATCAACTCTCGCAAAAACGTCGCCAAAATGGTCCTGGGCTTCGTGTTCTTTTTTGCCGTGTGCTTCCTGCCCAACCACGTGTTCTTCCTCTGGTTCTACTTTGACCCGAATGCCGAGCAAGTGTACAATATTTTCTGGGACATTCTCAGGATCCTGGGGTTCACACTCAGTTTCACCAATTCCTGCGTGAACCCCGTGGTGATGTATTGCGTCAGCAGCACCTTCAGAAAAATGTTCAACAGGTGATTTTTGAATACAGTACTGTACTGTGTTCCAAAATAATTGATTTCACTTTCAACTGTAGACTGAACTCAATAAGTAAAAATAAATTTGGAGATAATACTACTTTATATATACAGTATGTACTTGTATGCAATTACAAAACTCATACTATTTATTCTTCAAAGATTTGTACCAACAACTGGAAGGTGTATCATTTGATTCCAGTAGGACCCCAAGATGAGGACATAATTGATGCATCAAGACTGTCCTAAAGTCAAGATGTCCCTAAGGCTGAGTCTTGGTTTCCCAGCATAGACTTAATTTATATCATTTTTAGTCAGTGTTTTGCTGAAGAAATATTCATCAGAATTCTATGAAAAAGCAAAAAAATGTCATCTGTGAATTGCAAATGATTCAATCTGTATATTTTAACCCAGTAAAAAGAAATTTATTTCAAGAATTTTTGAGGATATAAACATTTAATGCGATGAATAATTCTGTGTATCTGTACATACAATATTGGCCTTCTGTTCAAAAAAACATAGAAGTCAAAAGACGAAAGGGAAGCCCCTCATTGAGGAAGGCAATTTTTCGAAATTAGCAAAACCAATGAAAAAATGATGCATGCCAAAGAACTTACCTGACAACATGTTTTTAAAGTTTCCATTCAAATGGTTCTTGTGACTATGCCATGGCACTTGAAGCATGGAACTTCATAACAGTTGAAGGGGAATTGAACAAGCTTTAACTTGGCACTTCCTTCCTTGTCATACCATGTTTGCTCCAAAGATATTTTGAGTACAAGATCCATTTCCTTTTTTTTTGGTTGACCCTGAATAATCATATTTTTTTTATTCATCTCTGCTTTAAAATTGGCTTCTTCTGAATTGTAAATTGATTTTCAGAAATTATAAATGCAATACTTACAATGACAATATTCTCTGTGCAACCATTTTTTGGTCCCATTGGGTTCTCTCTACATCTTATATGGGTTCTGTAGGAAACAGTTTAGACCCTGAGCCATATGGTACCCTTCATCTAGTACGACACAGGGTACCAAAGGAAGTTGATGCACATGTTATCGAATAAAATAATATACATGAGGATATATATAAAATATTAGATTATATATTTTTTTCAAGATACACAACAATTACAAATACAGAATTCAAAATAATGAAGTCTTGCTAAAATCTTTACAAGGCTTCCTGAGAAATAACTGCGTTGAGGTTTGGATAATTTCTGAGGCTTGCTCAGGAAAATCAGGGGTTTGTGTACACTCATTGACAGGAATCAAGGATAACCAAGATTCCTTCAAGTCAGAGGAAATTCATGAGGCTTTTCTTTAAACCTCATGCATACAATTTAATATAACACAGGTGAAATGTGCGCACCAAGTAGAAGCATTCAATAAAAAATATACATATATATGGATACCCGCAGTGTCAAAGAAAATCTGTCACAGTGGCATCTGTCACTGTCAGCAATATAAAGAGAGGAAAATAGGTGCTTGGCCTTTTGAGGGGAAAAGCGTTGTCCCGGGTCGAACAGATGTCACCCGCAGACTTTGAACTTTTCACGGGACGACTAGATGTCGCCCCGAGCAACTCGGGTACAGTAAAAGCACGGCAGGTACTATAGATAATATGGCATACAAAACGCCCCGTCACCCCCCGTTATTTTCGGGAGAAATTCGATCCAAAAAGGAAAAGATTTATCACACAGAAATGTCTGTGCTGAAAGAAAATAAGTTTCTCAAGAAAACTAACAACCAGCCAGCCTTGGAAATAATGATCTCCAGGGCTCACTTCTCAAAAGAACGAGTCAACCCTGGACCAAAACGGATCCTAACTGGAATTGTCCACAAAGGGATTAGACACACATCAGTGGAAGGCCTTGACAGCCAGCCTTGGAAATAATGATCTCCAGGGCTCACTTCTCAAAAGAACGAGTCAACCCTGGACCAAAACGGATCCTAACTGGAATTGTCCACAAAAGGATTAGACACACATCAGTGGAAGGCCTTGGCAAAACTTTCCACTGATGAGGACCTGGAGCTGTGCAAAATCAAAGAAGCAACAACACACTTGCAGTTGGAACCTGACAGAAGAAGGAGCTCCCCAGAATTATTTGTGTGCACACTTACTTTATATTGGATTCTGTTGGAAACCTGACTGATATAAAAGGAAGATTGAGGTATTGACCTCAGGCCCCCAAAGGCCGATTGTGCTTACCACTTTATTTGATTCAGTGAAATCAAGCTTTGCCAGAGAGGCTCTTTAGCCCCTGACAATTGCATCATATGTCAGAAAGAAATGGTAAAGGGATTTATAAAATTGGTTTAACTCATCCTTCTATACTGAGAATCAAAGAAAAAATTCATATGATCCTGTGAACCAAACCTGAGTTTAGCAAGGAAATTCCTGAAAGACAAACTTTTCTTCCATGAAATTATCCTTGATAACTGAATCTGTCAAAGCTTTCCTGATTTCCTTCTCTTATAACCATTTTTGGCACATGAGGTTGTGATTTTGTGCTGAGCAGGTCTATGGAGAAAAGCCGAGCGAATAATTTTTGTGGGGTGAATTCAAAGTGTGTATTCCTGAGTCTGATTTCTTTGCAAAACTTCCAATCTTTCCAAGTCCTGAAATTCAACTATTTCTGTTCCTACAAAGAAATAAACCAACTACAATGAAAGGACTTATCAAGCAAATCCATGGCTGATTGCGCATTTCATTCATTTTTGTATTATCTAATTCAAGCTCCTCTGCAATTTGTTTTAGCTCTTTTAAACTTTGTGAAATAGACTTTCTCCTCACAACATATGTGTTTTTAATTTTTCCACAGGTGTGCGGAACTGATAAAAAACCCCTTCACCTCTCTTCTTTAAATTCTCTGGCACACAAAAATGTCTTCAAAAATTCAAGAAAATCTGGAGATATCACTTGGCATGATTAGAAAAAAATGTTGAATTTGCCTCTTTTAAAGAATTAAAGGTTGCACGGAATGAGGACAATAGTCATGTAAACCCTTCAACTGACAGAAAAATAAATATTTTTTATCCTTGGAGAAAATTTTTATTTTATAAAATTACTATGGCTTTCTGAGAAGAAGAAAAACAAGAAGAATACCAAAAAATGTGTTTTCTATCATATATACGTGCAGAACTGAGACAAAACTCCTTCACTTTTTTTTAATTCTCTGGGACACAAATATTTCTTCAAATATATTTCAAGACTATATGGAGGTATTACTGAGAAAAAAAAATTGAATTTGCCTCTTGCAAACAATTCAAGGTTGCGCGGAATGAAGACAGCAGTCAAAGAAACTCTTCAAATCACGTGAAAATGCATATTTTTGTTCCTATTTTTTTAAATGAGCGAGCTGATCATAGAATTGTGAGCAAAAATGAGCTTCTATCCCAAGTTTTCTTTCGATACTCACTTTCCAAAAAAAAAATTCCCACAAAAAAGGTTTATATTGATGAATATATGGAGTCCCTCCACAAATAAAATTCTATCTCTAAAAATACCTTCGGTCCCCCTTTATTTCGTGGTGAGAAATGAGTATATATATCCTACAGCTGGATGAATTTTCAGAGACTTCGCCTTTTCAACGATTCATAAAATTCTTTCGAAATGCCAGCTAACAAAGGGAGGAAACGAATGAGTTTCTTTTTTTTTAAGAAAAAAATTTGGATTCTGACACGGTATTTTTTATGTGAAACCAGCTTCAAGAGCCGAGATCTTTAAATTTCGGTTCTTTCATGCGAAAAGAGGCCGCTGACTTTCGCAAATCTAAATTATTTTTTGAAGATCGTGTTAAAAACGGCATAAAATTCAGGTAAAAAATTATTTGAAATATGTGCTTCGATTTGAAAGTCTATATTTATTTATGGTACTTTAAAGCAGAATTGTTCACTACCAATAAAAGTCCACTCTTGTTTTTCAAGAGATTTGATGGTTGAAGAATTTCTGCCATTGCATAACTCGATGCACGAACTCATTGAATTCATTTCGCAATCATATTAACTTGCCGAAATCGGTCTCATTTTATTGTAATGCATTTTTTCCAGGAGTTCATCACACAGATTTTTTAACACAAAGTGAATTTAATTAAATCATTCCAAATAGGTCAAAAAATAGCCTCGACAGGATTTTTTTTTCAGATTTAAAACCAGCTGAAGGAGAAATTTTAAGTTTCTCAAGAAACACTTCCCATGTTTCAAAATTCATATTTTCTTCGTCCTTCATGCCTTCCTTTTTTTACTACGAATTTACAGTCTTCTCAGCAAATACAATTTTCCAAATTCCCAAATTCTGC